GATTGGAAAGCTCTGAAGCGCATAGCCCGCTATTTGAATGGGACTTTGCACTACAGGCTGAGGTTCACCAGTCAGAAGACTGGAGGTCTTGAAATCTTTGCAGATGCAAGTTTTGGAAGTGACACCACGGATGGTACAAGCACTTCTGGAGTGTGCTACATCTACAACCACTGTCTGTTTGACTGGCTGTGCAAGAAGCAGACAACAGTGAGCCTAAGTTCCTGTGAAGCAGAACTCAATGCTCTGTCATTTTCACTCATGGATTGTGAATGGTTGATGCAACTGTTTAAGGACATCAGAGTTTCTGTGAAATCTCCTATACAAGTGTATCAAGACAATAGATCCTGTTTGGCTTTGCTGAACTCAGAGAGTTGCAAGCAAAGAACCAAGTACTTGCAGATTAAGTTACATCGTGCAAGAGAGTGTATTCAGAAAGGACTCATTCAGGTGTCCTACATGCCAGGAAATGAAATTCCTGCTGATCTGTTGTCTAAGGTTGTTAACAGAGAACAACTTAAGGTTTATGTACAGAAGTTGCAATTGGGTTGAACCACAGGTACTACAGGTTACACGGAAAGGGGGAGGATGTTAGGATATTTCCGTTCCACCTTAAAAGGGAGCAGGCTGTGAGTCACAGAGTCTGCGTATTTCCTGTTCACAGGAAGTTTATGTTTTCTATTGCTTTCGTTTCTCTCTGTGTCGTAGACACTGAAGCAGGCAGTCATGTTTTTCTTTGTTCTGATCAACGCTGAATAAAACTTGTAAATAATGCTCTCCTGATTACGACTTCTGCTGTGCATTATCTGCTAACAGAGTGTGCATCGGCTCTAGAATGTGGCAGGCTATTTTCTGGAGCTCATGTCGCTAATTGCTGATACTGCGTGACTACGGGAGATCGATGGATCGTCTGGCAGCCGGCTTGGGGGCCATGATGGACTTTGTCTCCCTGGCAGTATCCCAACACAGTATATTCCAGCAATACCTACGCTGCTACGTCAGCGAGGGACAGAACGATTGGGTAGAGAAACTAGCCTTGGCTGAATTTGCGTACAATAATGCTGAACATGTGTCCACGGGAATGAGCCCGTTTATGGCCAATTATGGGTGTCACCCCAGGGCCTTCCTGGGGAGGGGAGGAAGCATGGAGTGTACCCGCGGCCGAGCAGTTTATAGAAGAAATGGAGGCTTTGCACCAGCAACTCAAGATGAACTTGGAGCGGGCCAAGGAAGTTTACAAGAGGCAGGCGGACAAGCACCGTCGGGAGGGGGAGGCCATAAGGGTGGGAGACCAGGTGTGGTTGTCAACCCAAGGGTTACCCCTAAAGGGAGGGTGCAAGAAGTTGCAGCCGAGGCGGCTGGGGCCTTTTGAGGTAACACAGCAGGTGAACCCAGTGGCATTCAAACTCAAGTTGCCGGACAGCATGAAGATACATCCGGTGTTCCATAGGTCCCTACTTTCACCGTACAGGGAGGGCCGGGAATTTCCGGGGCGGGAGGGAGGCGTCACCACCCACCCGCAGGTAGAGGAGAGGGAACACCGCAACCAAGCCACGGAAATACTCGATTCAAGGTGGCGAGGTCACCAAGTGGAGTACTTGGTAGCTTGGGAAGGAGAACCCAGGTCAGAAAACACGTGGGTCCCCGCTGAGGCAAGCAATGATGGGTATCTGGTGGAAGAATTCCACAGTTTGTTCCCGGATAAGCCAAAACCACTAGCGAGATTCTGGGAGGAAGAATTTGGAACCACAGACGACGAAGGGGACTTTGTGGGTTTTCCTGCCTCCGAAGAAGAGGGAGGAGAGGTGTCAGAGGGAGAAGAATCAGACTGGGAGGTCCACCCTGAGGGGAGAGATCTGAGCGGGTGGGAGGCTGGTTTTGAATCCTCAGAGGATGGTGACAGCTCCTTCAGGGGATTCCCCGCATCGTCGGCCGAGGAAAGAGACGAGGTTATATCGGAAAATCGCGCCGGGGTGGAGGGGGTCCTGGGGAGGAGGTGGATGTTAGGGAACTGCCATCGGAGCCAGGGGGAGAGGGAGGGCTCCAGAGGGATTCCGGAGAGCGTCCCGGGAGGGAGAGAAGCAGCACATCTTCTGATGAAGGAAATCAGCGTAGCACCAGTGGAGAAGGGGGGCAGATGGGGGAATCGGCGTGGTGGCTCCATGACTCTTCGCCGGGGACCAGCGGGGAGAGCACGGGTCCTCCGCTGCCCACACCCTCCCTGCGCAGAAGGCTTCCGCGCAGGGAGACTAGGCGGAGACTAGGCGTCAAAGAACTTTTGTGCTGGAAGAAGTTCAAGAAATGCCCACTGACGGATTCTGCCAGCCATTGAGACAGCCACGGGCGAGTGGCTGTCCGGACAGAAAAGGTTCACTCAGGCAACCCAGCCAGGTGTGGCGCCGATTTACGCACGAGCAACCCCTAGAACCATTACATCGGGTAAAGTACCATTTAGCTGGAAACATGCTATAGTAATCCCAATCTTTAAGAGAGGCCACCCAAATGTACCCTCCAATTATAGGCCAATTAGCCTGCTTTCAAGAATTAGGAAGCTGTATGTCCGATTCCTCAGTAGCAAACTGACAACTTTTCTAAATGAACATAATATAGTATCTGAAGCCCAGGCAGCCTTTCGTGAGAACCATTCAACACCAGACCACTGTCTAATGCTCTCCTTCCTAGCCGAGAAGTATACCAGGCCTCTACAGGGTAAACTCTTTGTGGCCTCCATGGATCTGAAATCAGCGTTTGACTCCATCCCCAGATCCCTGCTATGGTCCAAAGTAAATCTGATTTTGCAGGACAAACAACTCCTCATTCTTAAAAAGCCCGGTAGAATGGAACCAAGCTACAGGTCCGATGTGGAAGGCAGGGACAGTTATTGAACAGTATCGAGATGACATGGGGGGTGAGACAGAGATGCATTTTGGCCCCCACATTGTTTTGTCTATTCTTAAATGACCTAGAAGAGAGCTTAATGGACACCTTCCAAAAATAGGAAGGAGAAGGACCCCCTTGTTGTTATATGTGGGTGACGCGGCCATCATCTCACGTTCCAGGCAGGGTTTGAATTATCTGCTGAGGAAATTTTCTGATTACTCTTCTGGAAATGCTTTATCCATTAATTATGAAAAATCTAAAATTTTAGTTTTCGGAAGAAGCTTCTCCGGTCTAAATGGTTGCTGGATGGCCATAACCTTGAACAGATCAAATACTGAGGCAAAGTTTTTATCGGTGGTTGCAAGAACCAATGATCCCTATATTCTGAACAAAATGCTTGTTTAACCTGGAGGTAGGCTGTATGAATTGTGTATTGCTTTGTAATGATTTGTTGGGTCTCTGGACCGTAATAAAGATTGATGATGATGGTATCCAGCAATGCAAGCCATAGTCAATATTTGTTGTTCTTGGCTTATTCAGTTCTGTTTAATGAAGGAGACAGTGCCCCAACATAAATAGCCACTTACTGCAAAGAGTTTTCCCTGCTTCTTCCCAGAGACACCTCTGAACGTTCTGTAAGTATCAAGCGTGCCTTTCCCGATGCTGCTACAGCAGAGGGTGGCTTGGAGGGTACCATGGGGGTGGTCTGTGTGCCAATGGAAATGTCAGGAAAGGAGAGAAGAGGAGCGGGTATGAAAAAGGAGGTGATAGTGAAAAATGGGATGAAAAGGAGGCTGCAGAATAGAAGCACTTTAGAAATGGGGAGTTGCAAAGGGTGGTCACAAATAGCATCAGGCACATACTGAAGTCATGTAGGTGGTACATGACTTCCGTCAGACTAGCCAAAATATACAAACTAAAATCAAATTTGTGTTGGAGATGTCAAGAGGTGGAGGGAACGATGTATCATGTATGGTGGGGATGTGGGAAATACAAACATTATGGAGCAGCATTCACAAAGAACTAAAAAAGATGTTTAGAACATCATTTGAGAAAAAGCCAGAAGTGTTTCTACTAGGCTTAGTCTAAAAGACATCCCCGGTGATAAGAAAAATGTGTTTTTATGTGCCACAGCTGCTGCCAGACTACCATTAGCCAAAAACTGGAAAGGGGCACTGCTCCCTCAGTAGCGGAGTGGCAAAACAAGCTTTGTGAATTTATAGAACTGGCTAAAATGACAGCAGCTACTAGATTCCAATCAAATCAAAAATTAAAGAAAGAATGGGAATGTGTGGAAGAATACATGACAAAACATTGTTTCAAAACAAATTTATTGATATGCATTGACTGAAGTTCGTAAAGTTAAGGTTAAAAGAAGAAAAGTGACTAATGGGGAATATGTAAATAATTTTCCTTAACACAATATTATAGTAATGAATAATTTTGAAAGCTGAGCATGGATGGAGTGAAGTCACAATGGTATAAATCAGAAAAATGAATAGACAATTATATATATGTTGATAGTATGTATTGTAAAGAATGATAAAAGGTGTAACTGAATGTAACACTGCAAAATTAAAATGAAAGATAGAAAGAAAAAAGAAAAAAGAAATAGCATCAGGCAAATTTTGCTTTATTTTACCTTATTCCATTTTGGGTCATTGACAAAGGTTTTAACCTGTGCTTTTTCTGGGGGCACACAGTACTGACACCATTTATTTATTTTTTAATTGTTAAATGTTTGGAACTTCCTATAGCAACTTCATGATGAGTCTTCAGGATGAGTGCTGGCACGTTTGTTTCTTTTTTAAAAACAAAAACAAAAACAGGGGTTTTAACAAAGATCACTTTGTCCCTAATATTCTGCCCAAAGAGGAAAAAGTGGGTTTTTAAAAAATTTCTGCCAGAATGCCAGACAATAGCTGAAATGCAAGCCAGAGACCTCCGCACAACAGTACAAGAGAAGCTTAAGAGACTGGAAAGGACAAAAGCAACAAATAAAGATTGTCTGCCATGTTAATATAAAGTACACATAAACGAAATGCCAACATCCTTCATTGTATAGTTGCAATGATCATTTTTAAATGTGACCCCCCCCCCCAGAGAACTCCCAGAGGAACACAATGCCTCACATCTACCTGTCTTTGCTTCTGGCTGGGCTCTGTGCTTTTGCCCACCGTCACCATACTCTTGACCACAAGGAGGACCATGACCATTCTCCTCTTGCTGAAGGTGACAGAGATTTGCCTTCTCTGAAGATAGTCCAATTCTACTACGACCTTCCTTCGGAGACTGGTGAGAAGAACATTTTCTCTTTTTTTATAATATTTTTATTCATTTTCAAATACAAATTTATACGACCATTATCAGAATTTATCACATAATCTTCTTTTTTTTTTACTTCCCTCAGTTTCTCTGCCAATCTTCCGTTTTATTTATTTGTTTACACACTCCGGTTTCTTAACAAATGTATGTTTTAACATCTTTTTCAATTCATTATAAATCATTTCCCAGAAGCCTTTCACTTTCTTACATTCCCACCACATATGATAAAATGTCCCTTCTTTTTCTTTACACCTCCAACACTTATTACATGTTTTATACATTTTTGCAAGTTTTACTGGTGTACTATACCATCTATATACCATTTTCATAACATTTTCCTTTAACGCAGTATATGCCGTAAATCTTAATCTTTCATTCCATAGTTTTATCCAATCATCCAATTGTATGTTGTTTAGTCGTTTAGTCATGTCCGACTCTTCGTGACCCCATGGACCAGAGCACGCCAGGCACTTCTGTCTTCCACTGCCTCCCGCAGTTTGGTCAGACTCATGTTTGTAGTTTTGAGAACACAGTCCAACCATCTCGTCCTCTGCCATCCCCTTCTCCTTGTGCCCTCCATCTTTCCCAACATCAGGGTCTTTTCCAGGGAGTCTTCTCTTCTCATGAGGTGGCCAAAGTACTGGAGCCTCAGCTTGACGATCTGTCCTTCGAGTGAGCACTCAGGGCTGATTTCCTTAAGAATGGATCGGTTTGATCTTCTTGCAGTCCATGGGACTCTCAAGAGTCTCCTCCAGCACCATAATTCAAAAGCATCAATTCTTCGGCGATCAGCCTTCTTTATGATCCAGCTCTCACTTCCATACATCACTACTGGGAAAACCATGGCTTTGACTATACGGACCTTTGTTGGCAAGGTGATGTCTCTGCTTTTTACAATACTGTCTAGGTTTGCCATCGCCTCTCTCCCAAGGAGCAGGCGTCTTTTAATTTCGTGACTGCTGTCACCATCTGCAGTGATCATGGAGCCCAGGAAGGTAAAATCTCTCACTGCTTCCATTTCTTCCCCTTCTATTTGCCAGGAGGTGATGGGACCAGTGGCCATGATCTTCGTTTTTTTTAATGTTGAGCTTCAGACCATATTTTGCGCTCTCCTCTTTCACCCTCATTAAAAGGTTCTTTAATTCCTCCCCACTTTCTGCATATCAAGGTTGTGTCATCTGCATATCTGAGGTTGTTGATATTTCTTCCGGCAATCTTAATTCCAGCTTGGGATTCATCCAGCCCAGCCTTTCGCATGATGAATTCTGCATATAAGTTAAATAAGCAGGGAGACAATATACAGCCTTGCTGTACTCCTTTCCCAATTTTGAACCAATCAGTTGTTCCATATCCAGTTCTTACTGTAGCTTCTTGTCCCACATAGAGATTTCTCAGGAGACAGATGAGGTGATCAGGCACTCCCATTTCTTTAAGAACTTGTCATAGTTTGCTGTGGTCGACACAGTCAAAGGCTTTTGCATAGTCAATGAAGCAGAAGTAGATGTCTTTCTGGAACTCTCTAGCTTTCTCCATAATCCAGCGCATGTTTGCAATTTGGTCTCTGGTTCCTCTGCCCCTTCGAAATCCAGCTTGCATTTCTGGGAGTTCTCGGTCCACATACTGCTTAAGCCTGCCTTGTAGAATTTTAAGCATAACCTTGCTAGCGTGTGAAATGAGTGCAATTGTGCGGTAGTTGGAGCATTCTTTGGCACTGCCCTTCTTTGGAATTGGGATGTAGACTGATCTTCTCCAATCCTCTGGCCACTGCTGAGTTTTCCAAACTTGCTGGCATACTGAGTGTAGCTCCTTAACAGCATCATTGTTTAAAATTTTAAATAGTTCAGCTGGAATACCATCACTTCCACTGGCCTTGTTATTTGCAGTGCTTTCTAAGGCCCATTTGACTTCACTCTCCAGGATGTCTGGCTCATCAACCGCACTACCTGGGGTGTACGAGCCATCCATATCTTTCTGGTATAATTCCTCTGTGTATTCTTGCCACCTCTTCTTGATGTCTTCTGCTTCTGTTAGGTCCTTTCCACTTTTGTCTTTTATTATGGTAATCTTTGTACGAAATGTTCCTTTCATATCTCCAATTTTCTTGAACAGATCTCTGGTTTTTCCCATTCTATTGTTTTCCTCTATTTCTTTGCATTGCTCGTTTAAGAAGGCCTTCTTGTCTCTCCTTGCTATTTTTTGGAAATCTGCATTCAATTTCCTGTATCTTTCACTATCTCCCTCGCATTTTGTTTGCCTTCTCTCCCCCGCTATTTGTAAGGCCTCGTTGGACAGCCACTTTGCTTTCTTGCATTTCCTTTTCGTTGGGATGGTTTTAGTTGCTGCCTCCTGTATAATGTTACGAGCCTCCATCCACAGTTCTTCAGGCACTCTGTCCACCAAATCTAAATCCTTAAACCTGTTCCTCACTTCCACTGTGTATTCATAAGGGATTTGACTTAGACTGTATCTTACAGGCCCAGTGGTTTTTCCTACTTTCTTCAGTTTAAGCTTGAATTTTGCTATAAGAAGCTGATGATCTGAGCCACAGTCAGCTCCAGGTCTTGTTTTTGCTGACTGTATAGAGCTTCTCCATCTTTGGCTGCAGAGAATATAATCAATCTGATTTCGATGCTGCCCAACTGGTGATGTCCATGTGTAGAGTCGTCTCTTGTGTTGTTGGAAAAGAGTGTTTGTGATGACCAGCTTGTTCTCTTGGCAGAACTCTATTAGCCTATGCCCTGCTTCGTTTTGAACTCCAAGGCCAAACTTGCCAGTTGTTCCTTTTATCTCTTGACTCCCTACTTTAGCATTCCAATCCCCTATAATGAGAAGAATATCCTTCTTTGGTGTCATTTCTATAAGGTGTTGCAAGTCTTCATAGAACTGGTCAATTTCAGTTTCTTCAGCACCAGTGGTTGGTGCATAAACTTTGATTACTGTGATGTTAAAAGGTCTGCCTTGGATTCGTATCAAGATCATTCTATCATTTTTGAGATTGCATCCCAGTACAGCTTTCGCCACTCTTTTGTTGACTATGAGGGCCACTCCATTTCTTTTATGGGATTCTTGCCCACAGTAATAGATATGATGGTCATCTGAACTGAATTCGCCCATTCCCGTCCATTTTAGTTCACTGATGCCCAGGATGTCAATATTTATTCTTGCCATCTCATTTTTTACCACATCCAACTTACCCAGGTTCATGGTTCTTACATTCCAGGTTCCTATGCAATATTTTTCTTTACAGCATTGGACTTTCCTTCCGCTTCCAGGCATATCCGCAACTGAGCATCCTTTTGGCTTTGGCCCAGCCACTTCATCAGCTCTGAATCTACTTGTACTTGTCCTCCGCTCTTCCTCAGTAGCATGTTGGACGCCTTCCGACCTGAGGGGCTCTTCTTCCAGCGTCATAACTTTTATATGCCTGTTGCCTTTGTCCATGGAGTTTTCTTGGCAGGGATACTGGAGTGGCTTGCCGGTTCCTGCTCCAGGTGGGTCACGTTTGGTCAAAACTCTCCACTATGACCTGTCCATCTTGGGTGGCCCTGCACGGCATAGCTCATAGCTTCTCTGAGTTATTCAAGCCCCTTCACCACGGCAAGGCAGTGATCCATGAAGGGGATCCAATTGCATATTATATCCAAAATCCCTGGCCCAATGTATCATCACCGATTTAACTTCTTCATCTTTTGTATACCATTCCAGCAACAATTTATACATTTTTGATAAAATTTTATAGTCGTTACTTAGTATTTCTGTTTGAAATTTTGAATCCTTTTCCACATAACCGCACTCTTTACAATCCTTTTTAAACATTTCATTAACCTGATAATAATGCAACCAATCATATACATACTCTTGAGAAGAACATTTTCTTTCACCCTCTGACCATTTCCACTGCCTTGGCCCTAGTGTCACTGGGAGCTGAACAACTATCTTGAGTCAGCTTTTGTCAGGACTTGGCTTTAACGATATTAAGTAATTGGGAACTAAATTAAGAACAGAGCAGTAAAGGCAGGTATCTCAGCACAGTAAGATGCCACAAAAACAGGAGCTTTTATTAAAAGCTCTGAGTATGACAATTAATATTTTGAAGAACTAAATGACATGTATACTGTTATTGTTCTTTCCATAAGCCAATTGGGAAAAACCTTTCAATTCTCTGAATACAAGAAAAGGAGACTTCTATGTGGATGAGGAAACAAAGGTGAAAGTCCCTATGATGAACAAAGTCAGCTGGTTTGAGACTTACCATGATAAGATCCTGCCCTGCAAGGTTGTGAAGCTCCCTTACAAGAGCAATGTTTCAGCATTATTTATTCTTCCTCACCAAGGAAAAATGAAGCAGTTGGAAAATGCTCTTAGCAAAGACGTTTTGTTAAAATGGAGGAATTCAAGAAAATCACAGTAAGTGGGCATGCTATAGTGGAAAGAGTGTAGTACATATTTGTAGGTGTAAATATATTGTTGTGAGTTTGAGGGGTAGTGATAGGCTGTGTAATGACCAAGTCCCTTGTAATTCCAGAACAGGATCAATTGAGCCTAGACATCGCTGAGACAGGAGTGCAAACATGTTAGGAATGTGGGCTTCGGAGAGCACATCTTTGATTAGAATTCTGTCCTGCCATATGACACCCAAAATTCTCCTGGCACATTTTTTTTTCAATGCAACACCTCACTAGTCTCTGGTTCCTCTTTCAACAGAATAGATCAAGCAGACCTCTCTGAAATTCCTGGGAAGCGTGAGGTGAAGATTTCCAAGGTAGGCTTCTCAAAATTCAGCAGGTTGATCTATATTTTCTTGCATCCTCCATTTTCCACAGAGGTACCCTCTTGTCTGAATTATGTTCAAATGAACATAATTTGGGGTACTTGAACCACAATCCCATCTCTCATGGAGAGGAGGAGCCAAAAATATTTGCTATTCCAGCTAGAATGATTAAGAGGCACCAAAAACCCATCTCTCCTTCTGCTATAGCCTAATGGCATGAGTGGTGCTTGATGACAGAAGAGGGGGGAGCCCCAATGGAGGTGGTCTCCCAACAGAACTGATGGAGAGACTCTTAAGGCCCAGCTCTCCCTCTTCCCTTGGCCATGCTATTTGGGGCTGATGGGATCCAAAAACATCAGGAGGGCCACAGTTTCCCCACCTCTGACACAAAATTTTCAAGAGCAGATGATTCGGTACCAGTTGCTTTGCAAAGACTGCAGTTAGCATTGGAGAAGGAGGAGAAATCTGATATATTTGCAAGCTTTGTGCAGACAGTATGGTTTATCACATACCTGCTTTAGTCTGACCTGCTCAGACACTGTAATTTTTTTTACGATATATACGATATCTTTATTGTCAATGTGCCACACAGAACAATGAAACTGAAAATCTACATAAAACATTCAAAAATCCCTAAAAACTCTGAAACCCCATTTTAAAATACAATATACTATAGTGCTGATGAACCATATGCTGTGTGTATTACGCAGCATAATTTTAAAGTATATTACTAAATATGTCTTTTATCCAGTTATATAAACTTTTGTATTTATCTGTTTATGTGCTGGCTACTTTTGGAAACCTAGTGTTTATAATATTATAGGAGCAATAGGGTAATATTATATGTGGTACATATGAAAGAAGTGTTCGTATTTTTAGCATAATCAGCCTGGCATTGGGATCTTGCTTCTCATCAACAGTAATGGAGAGAGACAAGAACCAGGAAAAAATAATTATGGAGAAGATTGACATCAAGATTTTAAGAAAATTCCTTCAGTTCCTTGAGGCTGACTGATACACAAATATGATGCTTAGAACTGGTTAGAGGAACCAGATCAATAGGTAATCAGAGTGAGAAACGACCACATGATGTTGTTTCTTAAGACATTCAGTGGATTTGTTTGTTTTGAAAGCCTAGATTTTCTCATGATAAAACCCTGAGTCAGACACAACCTTGCACTAATTTTTGTAGTATTTCTTTGCAGGCTATTCACGAAGCTTATTTAAATGTCGACGAGAATGACACTGAACCTGCAGCTACTGCTGCCATTGAAATTGTTCCTAGATCCCCTCCTTCTGAACTTCAGTTCAATCACCCCTTTCTGTTGCACGTTGTTGATGAGGAAACTGATACAGTCATCTTCCTGGGAAAAGTCAAAAATATTACTGCGGCATGATTGCTCAACTTGTGTTGCAGCACAGGAAACATGGAGTATCCAATATGTAGCATGATTGATAAGATGCTTTTAGGTATCAGAGTGATAACTGTGACATGTTCCCAAATGGAACAAATAAAACACTGATTGAGTTGTCTGCAAAATCACTTGGTGTTTTTCTTTCTTTTTTCACAATCTTAAAAAATATGTTGTTTATTTTAAGTGTGCTCTCTAGCATTCACTCTATGATAATTTGGGGATGTAGACACCTGTGCCATTTGAAAGATCAGGTTAACAGTATTTTATTATTATCTCTCATGCCTAGCTTCAATCTCAAAGCTGTCTAACTCTTCTGTTGGGTGTAGTGAAGGGTTAACCTTCTGTGTCTCGTGGCTGAGAGGAGGCGCATACAAGGGAAGTATGCCAGGACGTGACGAAAGCAGCTTGGAATGCTGTGAGCTGAGTGAAAAGTGAAAGCAGTTTGTTGTGCAGGTGCAAACTGAGAGCAGGACGCAGAGAAAATGCAGCTTGAATCAGATGGAAGTTCTTGATTGTAAATATGCTACTTTTGAGCAAATAAAGGGATATTAGGACAGAAGAAACGTGTGGGACTTGATTACTACTCTTTCAAACACACGACCGCTGTGCACCTTTGCTATCTGCTAATTGCTTTACGACCGCTACAAAGCCACCCTGCGTAAACCGAAGCTACAGAGGCTAGCAGGGGAAGCGTGGCTGGGCGCCGAACAATAAAGCAATAAATCTACCTAACAAAGGTTATGGGTGAACGTGAAGGGTGTGAGAAAGGGCTTTGAAGCTTTATTTGCTGAACGTCAGTTTGATGGATTGCCAAGACTTCAAACGGCAGATCGGAGGAGGCTGACGGAGAGGGAGCTGAGGAGCCACGTCGTCTTGAGTGCCCGGTTTGGCTGCTGAGTGAGTACTTTTGGAAAAGCCAACAGAAGGGGGACAATGGCTCAGCCCCGTAGACATGGCTTTGAGTTTAAACTGCCATGTCAGAAACTGACTAGTCAAAATTGGTTACAGTGGAGCTTTCAAGTAGAGCTTTTGCTGGTGGGGGAGAAGCTTTGGGACGTAGTCCAGCCCCCACAGAATGCAGCTGGGAAAGCAGAGGCTAAGAGGGCTGCAGAGCAAAGTGAAGTGGAAAAGTGTGTGCTTGCTTTTTTGGCAGAAAGTGTGGATGCTCAACTGGTGCCAGTTGTCCTGGGTGCAAGAAAGCCAGAGGCCGCTTGGCTAGCACTCCGAGAAGCTTGTGGAGCTGGGGTGGGAAGCAAGGGCCGAGAAGTGGCTGCATCCGAAAGGGAGAGGCAAGATGGCGCCGGCCACATTCTTGAGAGCCGATACACAGCTGGGAGGAGCTGTGAGCCCCCACAGGGGGGCGAAGGGAATGCTGCTGTTGCTGGAAATGCTGCTGGTGCTTTTGCTGAGCCTGGGAGCTGTATGGATGCTGCAACATGTCTGTGTGAGGAACCTGGAGAGAGGCCAAGTGTTGGGAGCCCTTTACCCATCAGAGGGGGTGCAGGAAAACGTCCTGGAGACCCCATGAGCAGTGGGGGGGCAGTGAGCAGTGAAAGCTCAGCGACGCCTCATTCTCCAAAAGCTGCCAGGAGTTGTTTACGCCAAAAGACGAAGCCTAGCTGTGCTGGAAGCTTCAAGGCTGGCCACCTGCAGCAAGTAGAGATAAGAGCTTCAGAGTTGTGTGGGAACGCCGAGACAAGTCCAGTCTCCATGGCAACTGAGAGAGTTGCATCTATGGAAGCTGTGAAGGTCGTGGGCAAGTCTTCCTGCCGGGGGGAGTCTGTTGCTGTGACAACCAGAGAGAACATCTGCAGAAGCCCCAAGGAGGGGGGTAGCGAGGAGATTGTTGCCCTAGTGACCCAGGAATGTCAACAACAAAGCTTTCTCACTGTAATAATCGACAGTGGTGCCTCAAACTCATTGGTGCCATCTCCTGGTCTTTTGAGGAATTGCAGGACAGTAAAAACTGAGAAATTTGTGACGATTGCAGATGGAAGCAGAAAAAGACTAACAGAGACAGGCCTTTTCTTTTGTCCTTTCCTTAAGCATGAAGTCAAAGCTTATGCAGTGCCCGGTTTAACTAACTGTTTGTTAAGTGTGCATGATCTACTTATTGATGGTTTTCATGTCTCTTTTGCAGGTGACAAATGAGAATTCTCCAAGGATGGGAAACACGTGTACACAGTGCAGTCTAAAGATAATTTGTTTGCTGTAAATGTGCCTTTTTCCACAGGAGAAGATGACACCGAAGATGCGAAGGGCCAATGTGTGAATGTAGCGCCCCACCATGGTTGTTCACATATTTGGCACCGACGCTTCGCCCATTTGAATTGGAAATATCTCCAGAAAGCACCAGAGCTGACACAAGGGTGCAAATTTAATGTTTGTGACAAATTTTTAGATTGCAATGCATGTAAACAGGTGAAAATTGTGACATGCTCATATCCAAAGTCAGAGAGGCAGACCACACAACTTTGAATTAATTCATGCAGATCTGTGTGGACCCATGTCTGTTGAGTCACTGGGAGGATCAAGGTATTCTCTGCTTTTGATTGATGATTTTTCGAGGTCTTCTTGGACCTTCTCTCTGAAAACGAAAGGGGAGGCGGCTAAAATGATCAGGGATTGGATCACCGCAGTTGAGGTAACCTTTTCCACCAAAGTTCGTGGTTTTCAAAGTGACAGAGGTTGTGAATTCACTGGTTCTGCTTTACAGGATTTCTTTAGGGAGAAGGGGATTAGCCACAGACTGACCGCTCCTTACTCTCCGCAACAGAATGGGCTGTGTTGGAATGAATTCACGACAGACGAGTAGCAGGTGTCATATGAGAGGCGTCTGCTGGGGCAAGCCCCGGGAACTCCCTTTTATTGAATATTACAAACATTGCCACAGGTGTGCTTGTGGCTGATTGGTTGATACAAACACAAAGCCACTTGTTGCTGATTGGTTAACATAAGTACAAGGCGGGAATTACATATAACATTAATCACCGATAGATTAAAAGCTGGGAAACGGAGCTGGAACTAGACAGGCATGAAACCTCCTAATTAAATTATAACTAAAGATTGATATAACATGACTAAAACAATTACTAATGATTGATCATAACATGAAAGAATATAATAATCGAGTTCCGTAGATGTGGTCGGCTGTGCATTAAGAACAGGTCATATTGTTTGTTCATGAACTTAAGATGGACTGAGGAATGAGGGAATGTGTTGGTGTTTAGAACAGGTTTGTACAGTGTGTGCAGAAGCAGAGAAAAGATTATAAGCGAGACTTCCCAAAATGCAAGAGAAAAGAAGCAATAGTTCTCATAGCAAGACTTCCCATAATGCCACAGTTATGTGCAGAAAAAGAACTTCCCTTTATCTCCCCCTTTCTTTTCTTGTTTGCGAGGCGTTCTGGGTAAATCAGGCAAAAATACTTCGGGATTAGTGGTGTGCCAGCGAATGCCCAAAATAAGTTCGCCAGCGTCGATGGGACAAAGGTATTTCGGGATATGTGGTCTGCCAGCGCATGCCCAAAATAAGTCTGCCCACATCTCCCCTAAAGTTTACTGTTGGTGTCACCATTTCGCAAAGTAGGCAGCAAGGAGTTTATTGGGTGGCTGAGGGGGAGAGAGAAGCCGAGAGAAAAGACTTATGAGGCCAGGAACGCATTGAAGGAAGCAACATAGCAAAATTAGTATACATATTATGACAATGGCATATTGAAAAAGACTATGAAGCCAAGTAAGGTTAGGCAGCCAAGCAGTAAGCCACTGGGTGAAAGAATCCCAGAGGCCAGAAAAACCAACGTCCTGTTTAATGTGATGTGTAAGATTTTGCAAATGAGAGATTTGGCTTTGAATGGCTCTAGAATTGTCAATAATATTGAAACAACACATGTCATTCACTTGTTCACAGCCATAATGATGAAGCATGAACAAATAATCGATAGCACGATTTTGTAAAAGTCCATTTTGTAGTTCACTCTGTTATTTATTCAAAAGGTGAAGAGCTTGTGAAATAAAATTCAGAGCTTTTGCTGCAGAACAAGCTAAAGAATTAATGTTCATACGATTCCGTACAGCCAATCCAGGGACTCCTAAGAGAGAAACAACTAAAGAGATATATTCAGACCTACTGGGAAAAGAGACAAAAGCATCACAATCATTAATCAATTCAATATTGCGGCGATATCGAGAGCGGGTCAAATGATGCTTTTTGGGTAGTACGATGGACAAACGGCTTAAGCAGCAGGGTGTGCCATGGCTGATGTTTGCTGGAATGTAATTAAACGTATAGCCAGGACACGACCAGAAGATTTCCAGTTGAGGGGAAGTGCAAGCTTACTCATTAAATTGAATGGTAGCTTGTAATTGTTGTAGTAAGTCTCTTTCCCACAGATTGAGGTGGATTTTCAGCACACAGGGCTGGATGTATGCAATGGTTTCAGAGCTATCAGGTAGAGAAACAGGCAACCACTGTACACTTTTGGAAGAGGTTTGGGGGCCACCCACACCCCAGACTGCAGAGGCAGACTCAAGGGGCCACGTGGGGTCCCAGCAACTACTAGAAATTACAGAAACGTCTGCGCCCGTGTCAATCAAGCCTTCCAGCACAATACCATTGATTTTATACTTACGAAGAAGTTTCTTTTCACCAATCCTCTGGACTACAGCTAACAGCTGTGGAGGGAAAGAAGAGAGCTCGTGCAAATTACTATCCATAATAGAAGCAGTAGGATGAGAACGGAGCACCACCAAATGTGCCCTTATTTAACTGCATGGGCATATGGCTCCAGAGTTGAACCATTATTGTGCCTACATAGTCAGGATCCAGAACTCCTGGAATAACCTGGATTCCTTCTTTCGCCGCAGAAAATTTGGGTAAAATTAAACCTGCGACTTTAGGAGGCAGTGGGCCTGCCAATTGGGTGGGCATAAGCACAATTTCAACAGGTAAAACAGAGTCTTTGGTCTCTTGATTGATCAAATCAATGGCAAATTCAGAGGGTGTATTTTTAGAAAAGTTTTCAGTAGCGGAAACTAAAGGTGGAAAACTCTCTAATTGCCCTGGCCCGAGAGTGGGGCCGCAATGGAGTTTCCCGGACTCCTGCATTGATTAGCCCAATGATAGCCTTTCCCACATTTCGGGCATTTTTTGGAAGGTCTAGTTTTGTTGGCAGCACCATCCTTGTTTGCCCTCCCGCCAGGGGCTCTGCATTGCTTGGCAAAATGGCCTGGGCGCTTACAATTAAAGCAATTACCTGTAGGTCTATTAGTAGCTTGGATTGCGCCGGCAAGCAAAGACATCACATGGCTCTGGCTACCGACATGCTCACAAGCTTGAATCATATCGGCCAGGTCATATTTAGGGCGATGTATGACTGACTGCAATGCTTTCTTGCAATCGGTGTTTGCGTATTCAAAGGCCAATTTTTTCATTAATTCATTTTGAGCTGTAGTGTTATCAATCTGCCTAGTGACTGATTCTTTCAATCTATCTATAAACTGATGGTATGGCTCCGAATGCTGTTGTTTAATATTGACAAAGGAGCTCAGCGGTTGCCCTGAGACAGGGACTTTCCGAAAGGCGCGTTGTACACAGGTCGCGGTGTGACTAAAATGTACAGGTGTCAGCGTCGCCTGGGCTGGTATATTATCATACTGACCCGCGCCATAAAGTTGATTGGCTGTATGCTGCGGATCAGACAGGGCTGATGCGCTATGTTTAAATTCACTCTCAAACACCACATACTGAGCTGGGGATAAAAGCATGTGCATCAGGTCTTTCCAGTCTTGAGGTAGCATTGTGTAACCAGTTGCTATTCCTTCTAGCATTCCTGTTACATAAGAGGATTTTAGACCAGAATCAGTAATGGCTTTCCTTAATTCCCTCATTACAGAATAAGGAAGTGCCTCATAAAAAACCTGCTGTTGAGCAGTTCCAGGGTTTGAATAGGTGATAGGGAAAGCAGACGGCATTGCACCAGCCCACTCAGATTCCTCCTCTAAGGACAGGAGCCCTTTCTGCCTGGCCAAAGAAAGCGCAGCGCGCACAGCTCCTGTAGAGCAAACAGGGGCTGTGGCAGGCGGAGGAGGGATGGGGGGGAGGATGCAGGCTGAGTCGGTTGAGACGCAGGGAGGGGTTGGCCGGGCTGCAAAGGAGAAGGAGGCAAAAGCTTTGGGTAAGGTGGGGGATTGTCTGCAATGGCTAGAAGGGCAGGGGCCGAGGGAGACGCCTGGGGTCCTAATTGGGGCCCTAATTTAGCAACGGCATCTGCACATTTCTGCCAAGTGAGCAGACCATGAATTGGAGCCCTCGGTTCTGCAAAGAGGGTCTTTCCGATCTTTTGCCAAGTCTCTACTTCCAAAGAACCAGTCTCTGGATAGGAAGGGCACTGGCAAGCAATCTCACATAGCAATTGTTCAATTTCTTTTAAGGAAATATTAACACCCACCGCTCGCTGTCTAACTAAATAAAGCAATTCTTTAGCATGCTCTTTTTGGAATTTAGTCAATTCCCCTCCCATACTCACAAAGTAGCGCGCTGAGACTTCTCCAGTCGAGTGAAGTATGAGGGCTGGCTGAGTAAGGGATCTGGCACATCGGGGTCACCAGATGTTGGAATGAATCCACGACAGACGAGTGGCAGGTGTCATATGAGAGACGTCTGCTGGGGCAAGCCCCGGGAACTCCCTTTTATTGAATATTACAAACATTGCCACAGGTGTGCTTGTGGCTGATTGGTTGATACAAACACAAAGCCACTTGTTGCTGATTGGTTAACATAAGTACAAGGCGGGAATTACATATAACATTAATCACCGATAGATTAAAAGCTGGGAAACGGAGCTGGAACTAGACAGGCATGAAACCTCCTAATTAAATTATAACTAAAGATTGATATAACATGACTAAAACAATTACTAATGATTGATCATAACATGAAAGAATATAATAATCGAGTTCCGTAGATGTGGTCAGCTGTGCATTAAGAACAGGTCATATTGTTTGTTCATGAACTTAAGATGGACTGAGGAATGAGGGAATGTCTTGGTGTTTAGAACAGGTTTGTACAGCGTGTGCAGAAGCAGAGAAAAGATTATAAGCGAGACTTCCCAAAATGCAAGAGAAAAGAAGCAATAGTTCTCATAGCAAGACTTCCCATAATGCCACAGTTATGTGCAGAAAAAGAACTTCCCTTTAGGGCTGGCAGAGAGAAAGAACAGGACGGGGGAGGAAGCTGTGTCTGCGATCCTGTGGGACACAGGGCTACCCCAGAAATATTGGTCTGAGGCCTGGCGCTACGTAGTTCATACGCAGAACAAAGTGTACAACTCTAGTGTAGGAAATACACCGTATTTCTTACTGCATGGAAAGAAGCCTAAGGTATACTACCTTTGTGTGTTTGGTTGTGAGGCTTGGGTGCTTATTCCAAAGGCTCTACACAAGAAAGGTGAGCCAAGATCTAAAAGAATGATCTTTGTAGGGTATGAGCCTGGCTCAAAGGCCTAGCGGTTTGCGTACCCAAGTGGAGACCAGTCTAGGTTCGTTATCAGCAATAGTGCTGAGTTCTGTGAGCAAGCCGGTTGGAAGCGTCTGCACGCTAATCCAGACGCGATTCCACAGCAGTTCTATGACTCAGACGTTGAGGAGGAAGAGGAACTTGGTGCTGGGGACCACGGTCCAGAGCGACAGAGTCCAAGGCAGGGACAGCTCAGGATCCCTCAGAGGGGGGAACCTAGAACACCTCCTCAGGCAAGTGTCAACTTTGAGCCAAAGAGTGAGCCTTCTTCACCTGCTGGACTAGCTGTAAGGCCGAAGA